TTAATATTAAAATAAAAAAATGCTCGTATGCAATAAATATTACTCCAACTGCTATAAAAATTCAAATATAAGTAGTTCGACCTTACTAAACAACTTTCTTAGATAGTAAAATATGATTTGATTTAACCAAAGTACTGAAATTAAATTCTGAAGTTGCTAATTGCTGTACGAATTTTTATATTTAAAAGCTAATTTTTGTAATAATTTTCAAAAAGATAGTGCTAATGCAAATAAAATTAAAAATATAAAATGGTTTTTACAAGTATAAAGAAAAGAATAAATTTTTTATTTTGAGAAAAAATTATAAAACGTATATTACCAAATATTGTAATAATTGTTGTACAATATTTCAAATTAGTATATATAAGGTAAATATTAAATTTTATATACAATTTTACCTTATTATTTACCGAAACATTTGTAAACTTATATTTGATTTTACCTTATAAAACCGGAAACCTATTTTAACTTTACCTTACATATCCGGAGACCTTTTATTTGTCATATATATAATTTTACCTTTATCTATTAAGAGACCTAAAATTTTTTTTTAATATAAATTTTACCTTATATTTTCGGAGACCTCTATTAGAAGTAAGCGGGGTCCTACCTCCTCCCAATTTTCAAATATCGTATCAAGTTAGTATTCAGAGAGAATTTAACATTGCTTAAAATAACTGCACAATAGGTGAATCAGATAGCTGATTTTAGTTCTCATAAATATTGATACTTTCATCAATACCTTTGTGAGAATTATTATCATTATTACTATTTAACTGTTCAAACCTATTTTGTTTATATTCTTCAATAGATTCTAAAAGAAAAAATCATTTAGTATTTATTATATTTGATAATTGATACTATTAAGTTTGGTTATTTCTTACTGGGATTATCAAAGAAAAAAAGTTTTCTTGATAAACTAAATTCTTTAAGAATATTAATATTACATATGTACCAATTTGTGGAATTATATGCTATGTCCACAAAATAGATTTGCCAAATGAATGCAACGTTAAAAGTCATGTGACAATAATGGATCTATATTATCTGATACACAAAATCAATTAGTTATTTGAATTTTAATTTTTTTTAATACAAGTAACATTAAAATTATAAAATCAGAATACAATTCTCATAACAAAATTGTGAATATCTTGGGCTATACATAAGATAGTTGGATGAATTTATATTCATTTAAAAGAAAAAATCAAGACTTATCTAATGAACCTAAAATTAGATGAAAATAATTACTGGTTGCTGAATAAATGCGTTCAATGCATTAATTTGCAATTTTTTGCTTTGATCGTAAATATCTCTGCATCTAGTGATTCAACCTGAATGTTCTTTGATTTTTAAGCTAGAGCAAGTTTACATCTTTCAAATAAATATAAAATCATTCAATTAGCATACATGTATGCTGAGAAATCAATGATTATATAATTCACATAAAACCCGTTATAAAAAATATTTTAAAATTACATTTCTTACCAAAAAAATTATTTTCAAGAAGTTTCCAGAGTCCTTTTACCTTATTTAAAAAATTTATTTGCTTTTTAAGGACTTTAATTAAATAAATCTAATAAAACAATAATAAAAAGTAATGAGTAAGTTTAGAGATCCTGGACGAAACTGAAATATTTAGTCATTTGACTAAACTGAAATAGTTTAGACATTTAAAATTAAAAGATGAAATGCCAAAATTCAATATTCTATAGTATTTCAATGAATTTTTTATAGATTTACATGGATTTTTAATTATAATAATTACTTATAAAAAAAAAAAAATAATAAATTTATATTAAAATATAATATTTTTTAAAGGAATTTATAAAACTTATTATATGTATAATATAATTTCATATATTTTTATAATAAAACTATAATTTTATATAATTAAAATTTAAACTTAAAAATTATTACTATATAGTTTAGTCAATGACGAAACTGAAACTAGTTGGTGACGAAACTGAAATTTTTGGTAAAAAGAGTTTAGCCAGATATTACTAAATAAGTTGTATAGTTTATTAAACAAAAAAAGTAAAAACTTTTCGAAACTCTTATATCTTTTATTTTACATATATTTTTACAAAAAAAAAGCAAAGAAAACTAAAGTTAAAATAAATAAAAAGATTTTTTTTCTATAAATAACAAATATTAATGTATTTTTTTTACTTACTGTTTAAGAAATAACCGCTATATATGCCTGCAAACTTTTTTGGTTCACTTATTAGGATGCTGTCAGATATTACCTAATATTTTAGAGGGAGGGGGTAATTATAGATTGTAGATTATACATGTAGCTGAAACCTCTATGAAGCTAAACAGGATTTTTGACTTTCAGTAATTTAATTATAATAAATTATTAAAAACTATCCAGAAATCCATCTGAAACTCTAAAGACTTTATATTATAGTTTCGGCTGGATGTAGAGATTAATTTTTATCATTTTTTAACTTAATTTTGATTTAAAGACATGGCCAAAAATCACGTGAAAAGGTTTCAGCTACAAGTATATCTTAGGTTACATATAATACTAAATAAGGAATTATATATATAACATATTTTACTTAGGAGGGAGGGGTAAGCTCTTATATTAAAATGATATTAGGTAATATCTGATAGTGTCCTAATGAAAAAGTGATTGAGTAAAGAAATGCTTAGTATCATTATTTTTAAAATATAAATTAAATTTTTTTTTTTATTTTTGGATAATTCTAAATTATTTAAATATGTAACCCATATTTAATTTAGGTTTGTATAATGTAAATCCTATTATACAGCTAAATTTTTATAAAAATCTTAATTTAAGCTAATTCTACAGATCAGCAGATATGATTAATATTGAAGGATGATGGTAAAAATAATTTGTTCATGTTAAAAATGTTGAAAAAAAAGGAATTTAATATGATTTTTATTAAAAAAATGAAACGAATGAGAAAGAAAGTAGTAAAAAAAAATCTGATAGATAAACTATTTGATTAATAATATTTAACTATTTAATCAATGTGACACATGAATAAGTTGCTAGTACAAGCCATCCATGTGATCAAATACTTATTAACCTTGTTTATGACAACAATTTTTCTAAAATATTAATATATATATATATTTGTATTATAGAAATTTATATAGTAGATTATATATAAAATTATACATTTATAAAAATTTAAAATATTAAATATTTAAATATATCTACATTTCTTATTTATTTAATAAAATAAATCAAATATTTGTTATTAAAAAATCTCATTATATATAACATTTTTTATTTAGCATTTCTAGTTACGATTAATAAAAATCTTGATGCATTAATTTGATGTAACTCAATCTTGATAAAATGATATATAGCTGATCATGTGAAAATATTAGTTATTATGATAAATAGAGATTCACATAGTTCAGTGTTTGATCCTATAACTTGTTAATAGTTATAAAAAAATGTATATATACCAGAAATTAGTATTACTTTAAAATAAATCTTAGTATATAAAGAAGTCATTAAAGAAGTCAATAAAATTTATAGTATGAAAGTACAATTACCAATATATAAACCTATAATAATTTCAGCATTAATTATTTTACTGTAAAGATCATGACAAATTAATTGAGTCTCATTGCAAAACCCTTTTAAGAGATTTAAATTTTACAGAAGTATTATTAAAACTTCTACTTTTAATTTCAATTTGCCAAAAGGAAGGCCAGAAATTTTTATTTAAAAATTCTAAAAATAGTTGAAGTTAGTCCATATTGTTATATATTATCTGTTAAATTTATAGAATCTGCACTAAAGTATATATGAAATTTGCTAAGAAATCAGTTTATTATTAGAGTTGAAATATATTTAATATCATCATTTTTTGGAATTAAGATAGCCTTTTTAACTATATAATTCATATTATTAGAATTTTTGATTAAGTTTAAATAGATAAAATAATTTACCTCTAAAAATTACTATAAATAAAGAGAAGTTTATTATGTCTTTTATATTTAGAATAACAGAATATTTTTCATTACCAATCTGTAAAAGAAGATCAGTAAAACTTTTTTATCCTTAGTTTTCATAGACATTGTTAGTTTTAAAATTACAGTTAACTCTCTTTATAGTTACACATTTATGACAGTCCATATTTGATAATTATAAGAAAATGTGACTATATAAAAAATTTCTTATATTTGTATATTATAATTTCAGCCAAAAATTAATATAATTTTAGCCAGAATTATATTTAAAACTTTATTGTATCATAACTCTGCCAATATTGATCCTAGAGAGATGATCTTACTACCATTTGATTCATCTTGATGAAATAAATCTAATGATATAAGATACATCGAAATCCAATTACTAGATCAATTTCTAAAATTAAAAAATATTAAATGGTTTTTAAGTAGTAACTCTGTCAATATTGATCATAGAGAGATGAGCTTATCACCATTTGATTCGTCTTAATGAGGTGATTCCAACGAACTATTAATCATCATTTTATAATTACAGTCAACTCCCTCTATAGTCACTCCCATTATAGTCACATTCTACTATATAGTCACACCAGTTGAATGTTCAAAACACTTTATTATTAAAATCTATCCTATATAGTCACAATCTATCTATAGTCACTATCACACCTATCCTCAAAAATCTTATATTAAAAAGAACCGTTTATAATCACAGTTATATAAAGAATATATTAAATAACTTGGCATCTAATAATCGTACAAAGATGTATCATAGCTTGTTAGAATCATCTCACTGAGACGAATCGAATGGTGGTAGTTTTATCCCTTTCCGATCACTGGCTGACGAGTTATTCAACAAAATGTTAAACATCGGCATTATAATATTTCTTGATTTACGTTTACTGCGCCATTTAACAATTTGCAAAATTTCTCAGTACCTAGTGATTGTAAAAAGACGATTTATAGCTCGTTGGAATCGCCTCATTGAGACGAATCGAATGGTGGTAAGCTCATCTCTCTGTGATCAATATTGACGGAGTTATTACTTAAAAACCATTTAATATTTTTTAATTTCAGAAATTGATCTAGTAATTGGATTTCGATGTATTTTATAC